AACTAAACTCACTCACTCTCTGTCTACTCAACTGTTACACAAGTAGGCTTGTGAAACTCAGTTCCAATTTGAGAAGCACTTTGACCAAGGTCTTGTGCGCCAGTTGTCGCCCTTGGTCGACCAGACTTACATCTGTCATGAACATTATATGTCTGTAGGTATCGTGTTTGTAATCTGCTAATTACTGGCTAAAACAGTGCTCTCTCAATCCAGCTCCAACATGCCCTTTGCATGTAGCCATTCCTCATGAGTCAGACACTGCCAGTAAAAATTATCAGATATCAATTTAATGGTTTTTATCCCTGAAATAGATCACTGTAAATTTCAAATTTTACCTGAGCATGTTTATGTGCACATGAAAAACATGTGCACTAAACTGGCGTTTTTGCCCAAACTTCATTACAGGTTGTGAATGGAATAATCCATTTCTAAATCCTACAACTTGGTTCCCCAAAATATCAACTCATAATGGAATAGCCCCTTTTTTCAGTGGTGTAATGTACAGGTGACCTAGCTCCACAATGCCAACTCAGTATGTTTCTCTCATATAAAATATTTAATATCGTTATATGTCTTGATGAACGAGTTTATGCATGACTTTGTACAGATCTGATAATTCATAACAGTGATAAAGATTAAATGTGTAAGTAGGAGTACTTGCCCAACAATCATTGATTATAATGGTTTGTATGTTTGTTGTAAGTAGTTCACACAGCAATATTGTAGCTGTATCATGATTTTGTTGATAATCAAGTCCTAACAAGGTACATTAGTACCTTTGAGTAGACTGACTGACTGACTGAGTTTGGTTTTACGCCGCTTTTAGCAATATTCCAGCAACATCACGGCGGGGGACACCAGAAATGGGCTTCACACATTGTACCCATGTGGGGATTCGAACCCGGGTCTTTGGCATGACGAGCCAACGCTTTAACCACTAGGCTACCCCACCGCCCCACCTTTGAGTAGAATGCCATACAATCAACAGTCACAGTATTTGACCATCTGATACATTTAGTTTTATTAGAGGCACAAGTTACTTAACATTGGAGTTATCCAATTCCAACATGAATTGGTTATACAAAATGATATATAAAATGATATACAAAACGATATATAAAATGATATACAAAATGATATATAAAATGATATACAAAACGATATATAAAATGATATACAAAATGATATATAGAATGATATATAAAATGATATACAAAACGATATATATACAATATGATATATAAAATGATATACAAAATGATATACAAAATGACTGCTGATATTTTTGTCCTCATCTCCCTTGATCTGAATGCATTCAACATCATCTGTTACTTATTTTCAACAGTATTTCTAATTATTTTTTGTTTATTTGCTTGTTTATGAGACATGTCTCTATGGGACATTATAACAGACATCACTTGGCTCCTTTGATTAAGACTAGGGCTGATATAATTCACTCGCATATTCGTTCAGACTTCAGTTCGTTATTCACCATCACTAGAATTGAATATGCATGAATATTTAGAAGTTGGTGTGATGAACAATGGGGAGAGTTCTATAGATGTACAACTTCTGTATTATTGATGTAAGAGATGTTTCGGTGTAGCTGCTAACACCGTAAGCGGAGTCTGGAGTTAAACAACAAACAAACAAACAAAAACCTGAAGCAAATATACTGAACAGCAAAAGAAACGCAAGTTTCGAAAAAATGAAATCTCATAAAAGTAAGCATTCATGTTTATGTCTTCTATTTTTAAAAAATGACAAAAAGCATGAGTTGCTTTTCTTTTGCTGTTCAGTATATGTCCAAGAAAGCCCACACAAGTCTAGAAAATGTGGCAATCTAAAAATGAAGAATGTCTCTGGGCTCCTTTTTATTGTATTTATAATTTTAACTTAAACAATTATATCTTCTGTAAAATATGTTCATTTGAGAGACTAAGCTGTTAGACTACCCTCGGCCGTACACCACACTATACCCTTACTCCCTTTGCCCACACAGCAAAGGCAATGAGAGAGATTGTATGATGCTTCAAATGGTTGTGCAATCTTGTTCCAGTAGGGAGAATGGTAGTCTGTCTCATAGTCCCTGAACCACATTAATTTCCCTACTGCCAAGCCCTCTCTGCAGTGCTAAAACCCTAAATAAACCAAGTCTAGATTTCCTCAGGTTCAGAATCTCTGGTCACGCTATGGCGCCTTTTCAATTTTAATGGGTTTATTTGTTATGTTTGTAATGACCCCAGCACGTGTAGCCCCAATGCAGATGTTCTTAGTCTCTGAATCTCTGGTCTCCCTAGGGCTCCTTTTCAATATAAATGGGCTTGTTTGTTACTATCAAAATTATATATATTCAGAGACTAAGCCTTAGTCTAGAAGAATGGTTATCTCCCTTGATCATCGACTCTCATAGTTGTAGCAACTGATAACTATTACTAACTAAACAGACTTGGTCAAGTGTAGATCAGAAGAGATGCTGATGTATAGAATAATTAGAAATACTTCATCCGTTATTGAAAACATTTATTTTGCTCTTATTTCCTTACGCCCACATGCCTTGATCCAGCTAAGTAAAAACCATGTAGACTTGTTCTCAATTGAAATGCAAAACTATTAAGTAACAATTTACAAATAATATTTGTATCTTTAAAAGCTAAAAATACACATCATACTAGTATTGGGCACAGACTGAGACATTCTTTGAGTCAACAAATCATGAAGATAACGCTCAACCTTTGATCGAGGCTCGAGTATTTGAATACCGGACCTAAATACTGATCACAGCCGACACAGTAGCAGGACAGGAAGTAATCTTCACCAGGTAGCACTCGCCTCAACTCAGGTACAGTGAAGTGGTCTCATTGTCACAATTATCATCTAGCCTCGGTAAACACACAGTAACAAGAAATAATTGTCTTACAGAACCATGATTATGTTGAAAGCAAGGATTGTGTTGGATCTGCTTACATCATAAACCTGTCATTTGGTTGGTCATGGTTTTATTGCTGACATTGAAATTAATGCCATTTTCTTAAAAACATATTACAGTGAAAGTCATAGAAAGTATGTGACTTAACCTAATACGTCAGCCTGTGCTGGTCCCACCATAACTCTGTCCTGTTTACAGCCAGTGCCGCTCACAGCTATATAGATAATGCTTATTCTCTAAATATATCACAATGTGTTAAGCCCATTTCTGGTGTCCCCGCGGTGATATTGCTGGAATATTGCTAAAAGCGGCGTAAAAACTAAACTCAGTCAGTCAGTCAGTCTCTAAATATATATAGTTTTAATTGTAACAAATAAACCCATTAAAATTGAAAAGGGCCATAGCGTGACCAGAGATTCTGAACCTGAGGAAATCTAGACTTTGCTTCATTTAGGGCTTTAGCATCACTTGAGGGAGGGCTAGACTGTAGGGAAAATAATGTGGTTCAGGGACTGTGAGACAGACTAGGGCTTTAGCTCGCAGGGAGGGCTAGACTGTAAAGAAAATAATGTGGTTCAGGGACTGTTAGACAGACTTTAGCTTTCTCAGGAGGGCTAGACTTAGGGAATAATGGTTGGGACTGAGATGCTTTGTGCTATATGGATAGCAAATTAGTTTAGATTCTCAAGTGATTACAACATTTATAGGCATGTAGTTCTTACCCTGGATGGCAGCTGGTTTGTTTATAGTTAAATGATACTGTGCAATGTGTGTGAGGCCCAGTAGTGTCACCCACATTACAAACAGGATACTATCTCCGACATTAAGTGCTACTGGCACAGTGGTATACTATAACCACTTCATCACCAGCTAGGGGCTAAATAGAGCCTTCCTTCTACCTGCTATAAACAAGAGGTAGGTTGCTACACTTGCACAGGTCTACAAGGACATGTTTCTTAAGTTCAAATCATAATTCCTAGATTATGTAAATAATAAGAACTAGTTGTCCCTATAAAGACGGAGTATTGCTCTGTTGCTATGACAAGCTGTTGTTTGGACCCTCGTGTGTTGTGTATTCTGCTGTTATAGGTATGGGATGTTACAGACCACATTCACTCTCACACAATATCCAGGTTACAACTGATTTTCAGCAACCTTTGTAAGTAAAGGCAGCAAACAGGTTTGAGTAGTCGGGCTCACTGTCTCTGTTTACTGCATTTCTTCATATCCCGGGTTGGTGGGGTAACCTAGTGGTTAGAGTGTTCACTCTTCACACGGAAGGCGGTGTTCAATTCTCCACATTTGTACAAGGTGTGGATCCATTATCTGGTGTTGCCCACTGTGATATTGCTGGAATATTGATAAAAGCGGTGTTTAATTCTCCACATTTGATTTGTACAAGGTGTGGAGTCATTATCTGGTGTTGCCCACTGTGATATTGCTGGAATATTGCTAAAGCGGTGTTTAATTCTCCACATTTGTACAAAGTGTAGAGCCATTATCTGGTGTTGCCCACTGTGATATTGCTAGAATATTGCTAAAAGCGGTATGAAGTTCAACTCTTTTACTCACTCTCCATATCCCAATTCCCTATTTTGATGATCATGATGTTAGTGATAAACTTGTCTGGTCCAGACTAGTTTATTTTTACAGGCCCCAGTCATACAGCTGGAATATTGCTGAGTGCTGCATTAAATGTAGGGTTAAACCACATACAAACAAGTTGTACACTCATTTCAATTGTTTCATTTCTCTCACTATTCCAGGTGGTGCTGCAGCCTCTTCTCGTCAAACTAAAGCACAATGTTCTGTTTCAGGAATCAAAGAGCACATTTCAAACCAGAACCTTCAACTGTGATGCTGTACAAGAACACATTCCCGGGATGGCGTCCAGCCCGGGTGACATGTGAAGTATGTTTTCTGGCAGCAGAAGCCCTGATCCACCCATGTCTGTGGAGCCTGTCCTGCCTGCTGTCCTTGTATATGCCCATCACAAAGGAACAAGTACATCCAGAGCGTGTGCTGTACAACAAAATAATATGGACTATTCCATTTCTGGTGTTGCGTTTCCATGTACCCCACTGCCTTGGTAGAGAGCCATTCTCGTCTGCTGCTGCTTGGTGTCAGGAGGAAATATACTTACGTCCATAAGACCAAGCGTTGCTAAGCCGGAAGCCAACACAGGAAGCTACAGCATTGCTTCAATTAATGTGTGTCTGTTCCAAGAGTTCCCTAGTCATTATCAACAATCTGGATGATCCTTTCAGGCCGGGCAAAGCAAATTGGTGAGTATTATCATTGACCAATATTTTTATAAAGATTTTCTTCAAAGAAATGGTCATCAGAATCCAGAATCCAGATACAACCTAAGATCAAGGAATCATATCCTCCAGGAGCGAGTGTCTGAGAGTAGAGACATTGAAGCTAGTGTTGAAGCCCACTTCCCACAGCTTGACTTCATCTGTTTCCAGGAAGTGTGGCAGCGTTGTTACGCGCAGCCGTTGATGGCAGAACTGCAGAAGGTGTTCCCATATGTCATCCATGACGCTGGTCACTGGAGCCTGAGTTGCAACTACTTCATGTTCAACAGTGGACTTCTGTTTGCGAGTCGTTATGAAATATTAGGCGTGGACTTTAAACCCTTCTTGAACAGTTGCATGTTTTGTGTGATAAATTCCAAAGGGCTGTTGATGGTTAAGGTAAGATATATACCAGTTGTATGAGCCAGAAGCAAGCCTGAAGTGAGGGCTGAAGTGTACATGAACATCCATGGTGGCGTGCGAAATTCACTATCATGGGTATGGATGAGTGAGTGACTTGTCTGAGTGGCATTTAGAAGTGGTGTGATGAACAAGCGAGGTCTATGGATACAGCTTCTTTAATATAATATGAGCAACATTTGATTGTAGCTACTAGCACCGTTACCAAGCAAATCCCTTCCTCATCATTGATAACGGTGTTAGTAGCTACACCAAAGCGTCACTCATATTAATATTAGGAAGTTGTATATCCATAGAACTCTCCTCGTTGTTCATAGCACCAACTTCTAAATGAGTGAGTGAGTTTAGTTTTTACGCCGCTGTTAGCAATATCACGGCAGGACACCATGCTTGTACCCATGTGGGGAATCAAACCCGGATCTCCGGTGTGATGAGCAAACGCTTTAACCACTAGGCCAACCATGAGACATAACCAGGAAGATTCTGGGGTTCAAACCCATAAGTATAAGTTTCTAAAGGTCAAGGGTAGGCACCACTGGTCAAATCCAACTACTAGCCATTTCTGACTAGTGGTCATATAAACTAGAACAACCAGTCATCGTCCCCCTGGACTTTCACTAGCCTGGAACTAACAGTGTATTGCTGTGCTTTAGGCGCAACCCATGCCTTCGAATTCACTTTGCTGGGTCTTATCACACTTGATCTCTTGAGCCAGCTAAATTTGTATGACTGTTTAGAAATGTCTATGCCATATTGTTTTCAAAACACTACAAAACCACAATATAGTATTCCTGCTTTGTGAAAGTCATCATGCTGGCCAGTGTTGTTGAGTAGTCCATATTGTATGTATGTTGATAACTGTCTGCAGTGTTGTTGAGTAGTCCATATTGTCTGTATGTTGATAACTGTCTGCAGTGTTGTTGAGGTTGTCCATATTGTCTGTATGTTGATAACTGTCTGCAGTGTTGTTGAGTAGTCCATATTGTCTGTATGTTGATAACTGTCTGCAGTGTTGTTGAGTTGTCCATATTGTCTGTATGTTGATCACTGTCTGCAGTGTTGTTGAGTAGTCCATATTGTCTGTATGTTGATGGCTGGCCAGTGTTGTTGAGTAGTCCATATTGTCTGTATGTTGATCGCTGGCCAGTGTTGTTGAGTAGTCCATATTGTCTGTATGTTGATCACTGTCTACAGGTGCTCCTCGGCAAGACAGGTGTACACAAGCAGGATGTCGGCTACATCTTCTGTACACACCTGCAGGCGTACCAAGGTAGGACATGACATTGTGTGTGTGGAGTGAGTTTACCTGACCAGGCCAGCAAAGCCATATTAGCTCTTAAACTTAGTGGAACTTAAAACATAGAACAAATCCAGCAGATTACCCATAGTCTTGTCTGTTTGGTCTGTTATATTCCATCATGCCCTCCTTATCATTCCTTATGTGTAGCGGAATCGGGTGGTCAGGCTCACTGACTTCGTTGACACATGTCATCATATCCCAGTTGTGTAGATCGATGCTCATGCTGTTGAACTCTGGATTGTCTGGTCCAGACTCGATTATTTACAAACTGCTACCACATAGCTGGAATATTGCTGAGTGCAGCGTTAAACGACACGCCAGCCAACCTTCTGTGTAGGGTGGTCAAAGCTTTGTGTAGAATAAAACAATACTCACTTATAGTCATTTGACAAAATCTCCCCTTTCAGCATACATTCCTCACACATGCAATGGTTATTAGAATGGGGGAAGCAAGGGACTGGGTTCTTTTAAATTCTTTCATTGAGTCACTGACTGTTTTCAAATCTTATATATCACAGATATATAGAGAATACTACACGAGGTCTCATTACATACGAATTATCTGAAGCGAGTGTCCTTCTTATGGTATCTGACTGAGTAGCGTTTATGTTTTTCGACAGATATAATGTCTCAATTCAGCTCACAATTAAACAGCAACACGGCAGCGTTAGCAATGTTTACATTCCCACAATGCATCTAAGTTGTAGAATGAATGAATTCACGTGTTTGTTATGAATGAAAAAATAGTTACGTCAGAATGTGACCTAATTGAGTGGTCATCGGTTATCCAATCAAATCGTTAGAATCTGAGGTCAAGTCGTTTACAACACAGGTCAACGCGATCACGACACTCGTGTGACGTACGAGATTAGAATGCAACTACCCATACGTTGACCTCGTGGGTAATAAATAAGAGTTATCTCCCATGATACAAACTCATACTAAGAGATCACAACATATAAGTTACCTACAAAAGTTCCTTTGCAACAGTGCGTTGTTGACTTGACTTGATAATGAAACCATTTGGGGCTGTAGTTCTCTGATTTCAAATTCTGTATTCAGGAGAACAGAAAGTGACAGACAAGCAACTGGACGATGTCTTACGATGGACACAAGAGTTCCGGCGGGAAACAGCATCCAAACATGACAACATCAAGTTGGACTGCATTTGTGGAGACTTCAACTTTGACAACATGTCCCCATGTAGGTTCCCCCATTGCAGCCACATTAAGCCAGTGTTGTACAAAACTGTCACATTAGCTGATTCTCTTGTACATGACACTCCTGTTTTGAAATAAACAAGCATATGCATATGTTTGTGGGTCACTAGTAAATATTGATGATACCAGACGGATAGATGCATGTGGTGCTATAGAGTTTCATGTTACTATAATATTACATAAGCCATGCCCTGTTGTGTGGTTAGAGTTACCTACCCTTGATCACTGATTGATCCAAAACAGCAGCAGATTTATTAAGGAGAACATAATGTATAGAGCATGTGTTTCCTGTGTCCCTCCCAGGTGACCATGAGCTGTCCAGCCACCCACTGTTTGACCAGTACGGAGGACCCCTGTAGAGAGGCAAGGTCTGGACAAACCCTGGACTGTAGGTTTTACACACTTGGCTGACAAGCATAAAATGCAGTGTTGTTGAACTTCCATTCCCTGTTTTGACATATTCCCGTTTACTACGTGTACTGTGTCAGTGTAAAATTACGATTGCATGTTATTGATATTGATATTTATCGTCCACAACTTTGTATTTCCAGAGAGCATCAAATTACAAGTTTGTGAGTAAAAGCAGCAACCTTGATGTTGACCATATACCAGTGGCTCTCACAGTGGAAACTTGACCATATAGCGTGTCCATGGAAACACGCTATAAACTTGACCATGGAAAGTATTACCATGGAAACGTGGACTGCTTTCATCTACAGCATCTACAAGCGGACCATGGGTGTGACTGTTTCTTGTTTGTAAGAATGATAATTTATACTTAAAAAGAGTTTTTATCTTTTTAACTGCAGTATTCTTTGTTTACTTTGTGTATGTTTCTTGTTGTGTTAATTGACTGATAAAGGTGAGTGAGGGAATGTTGTGTGTTTACAAATTGGGGGATGAGGATTTGATGCATTATTTAGTTCATCTGAGTTGTGAGCTATTGGGACAAACTACTTGATATGCCCATTATTGGGGGTTTGGGTATTTCATGGAGTTTTTGTCAAAATATATCTTCCTGGTTAAGACATAAATCATCAGTTTGTCCGATTATGTCAATTAACAGAATTACTGTTTGTAAGCAATGATATAATTATTCTGTTTCTTGCTAAAAGTCCCATACCTTGACCCTAGAATATTAGATGTTGTGTGCCTCAGTGTGAATGTTTCTTACAAAACATAACAGCATTTTAGAACATGTATACATATTTCTTATACAGTGAGTGAGTGAGTTAAGATTTATAGTCACATCTGGAATATTTCGGCCATATGGTGACTTTTTCTTATACAGTCACGTGATGGCCGATGGTATATGGGCAATAACAATCATAGAGGATCTCTGTTTCCTCCATACCTCCCTGAGAGCTTAGAACCAAACTTGGTGATCTGAAGAGATCACATATATACCGGGTACTTGTATGATTGTCAGTTGACAGCCAGACACCTATGATTTACATATGGTTTCTGTCATCTGCAAGATTTAACAGTTTTTTATTTAATATCAGATTTTCTATGACTGAACAATTCTTTTTTTGTTAAATATGTATACATATATATATTTTTGAGAATTAAAAAATCATGATTACAGACATAATGTTGTTTAGTCTTTGTTGAATTTGAATTCCTGACACCATAGAGACCAAATATCATAGTTTTTCCAACTTACGAAGCATGTACACACTGGCACTAAATATGTATGCCAGAAAGAGTAGTGAGAGACACAACTGAGTGAGTTTAGTTTTACGCCGCTTTTAGCAATATTCCAGCAATATCACAGCGGGGGACACCAGAAATGTGCTTCATACATTGTACCCATGTGGGGAATGGAACGTCTTCAGCGTGACAGCTTTAACCACTAGGCTACCCCTCCGGCCCAAGAGTGTGTGAGTGAGTTTAGTATTACTCCGCACTCAGCAATATTCCAGCTATATGGCGCCGCCGCCCCAAGAGGCACAACTAGGAACATTGAACTGTAGGGCTTTAGACCATTAGGTATGCTTTCCTTGATCTCTTACTGGCTTCCAAGGTTACATTAATTCAGGATAAGATGAATCTGCAAAAGAAATTCCTAGGATCATGTTCAGACAATGCCATAAAGCAAATGTAAATTAAAATAATCCTATCACAAACACCAAGGTTTACATCCAGGTCACAGAACCATCCGGAATCCAAATTGCCTCACAAAATGTCTGTTCCTATGTTTTGAAAGTTCAATCAAATACAAATAGGATATAGATCATCCCAAACTGGCTCCCTACAGTTGATATTTCCACATCACTAGAACACAGTTGACAATGCTATGATGTCACAAAGTTGATAGCATCACAATTCTATGATGTGATACAGCTTATTATTACCCACGTGGTCAACGTATTGGTAGGTAGTTGCATACGAATCTCGTACGTCACACGAGTGTCGTATTGCGTTGACCTGTGTCGTAACGACTTGACCTGAGATTCTAACGATTTGATTGGATAACCGATGACCTCTCAATTAGGTCACATTCTGACGTAACTATTTTTTCATTCATAACAAACACGTGAATTCATTCATTCTACAACTTAAATGCATTGTGGGAATGTAAACATCGCGAACGTTGCCGTGTCGCTGTTTAATTGTGAGTCGAACTGAGACATTATATCAGTCGAAAAACATAAACGCAATGTTTCCACCAGTGATGTTAGCCGAATGAAGCAACTGGAAACCAAGAAACGAGGTGCTACGGAGTAGTTTACTGTAGGAGGCTGTACGAGGCGATGACAACTGACATGCATCGTGACGTCGGTTACCAAGGCAGTGACGTCATTACAGTGTGACGTCATGCAAATATTGTACTACAGTACAAAACTCTTCCGCAACCTCTTTATGAAACCGGTTTCGGTTTGAAACCAAAATATTAACAAAATACGCTAATTTGTCAATTTAATGCATGTAAGATGTGGGTAATAAATGAAAATACCACTCTCAGTCTCATTACATACGAATTATACGAAACTCGTGATCTTCCTATGATATCCGACTCCTCGCTTTCGCTCGGTCGATAATAACCTACAGGAAGGACACCTCATTGAATATAATCTAATATGTAACGAGACCTCGTAGTATTCTCTATTGATGTCACACTGCTATGACATAACTAAGATAACTGCTAAAGAAGCCTAATGGCAGTTTTGTGTTCAGATAAATTCATTCTTTTTACTGATGAAGAATGATTTGGGATGATAAAAATTCTCTCCCCTCGTGTCTTCTGATATCAATATATCGTTGATTAAAGTAAAAATATCCTCGGCAAAACTCAGATATTTGTAACTTTAATCAACTCGTCGATGATATATTTGATATCCAGAATACACAGAGGTGAATCTTATGTCCTAATATGAAGCTCAGTTTTAGCCATTAACCAAAGGTATCTGCTAGACACGAAACTAAAAGTGGCTTCAAAGAACATAAAAACTTGTTTTTACTGGACAGTAGATTTTACATCAGTAACAGTGAATATTTTCCATCGAAGCTGACCGCACAAGCATTGACTAACAACTAGTCTCTGAAATGAAAATATTTTACAGAGAAAAGAGCTCATAATAAAAAAAAAAATATAATGGAAAAGAGCCCTGAGGGCTGTGGAAATCTAGACTTGCCACATTTTTCTAGACTTGCGTGGGCTTTCTTGAATATAATTTACTTCAGGGTCTGTAGGAAAGACTATGACAAGCATAACAGTGGAGCAAGATGTATAAATTGATAACTGAAAACAATATGCCGTATTTGGGGAATACGTACACTAGTTGAAACGAGCTAAAACATAACGGTTTCAGAATTATTACATTGTTTATTTAGATGTTTGGTTTGGTTGGTTGTTTACGCCGCACTCAGCAATATTCCAGCTATATGGCGGCAGTCTGTTAATAATCGAGTCTGGACCAGACAATCCAGTGATCAACAGCCTGAGCATCAATCTACGCAACTGGGATACGATGACTTGTCGCCAACCAAGTCAGCTAGCCCTGACCGCCCAATCCCGTTAGTAACAAGGATGAGTTACTGAAGATCAATTTTAACCCTGATCTTTGCGGGGTTTTTATTTTGAAGCTTTAGGCTTCCAGTGACGTGACCTTACCTATAGGTGACAACTGACATCATATATGTAAACGTCATGGTACTGGTTAATGAAACATTATTGCACAGTCAGAAACATGACCTTTGGCATTCGTGAGGCTGACATGGCCACAAACAACACTTTGCCCATCGAGAAACATCCATTAAATGTCCAGGATACTGTTGCAAGAAACAACCTTGGGCTATGACTGTCGTAAGTCTATGTTACGGTATGTGTGTAACGATCAACTTAACCCTACAACTGTCGTAGAGTCTATGTTAAGGTATGGGAGTTCAAATGACCTTAACCCTACGACTGTCGTAAAGTCTATGGCAAGGTATGTGTGTTACGATCATCTTAACCCCACGACTATCATAAGTCTATGTTACGGTATGTGTGTTACGATCACCTTAACCCCTAACAACTGTGGCGTAAAGTCTATGTTACGGTATGTGTGTTACGATCATCTTAACCCAAAGACTGTCGTAAAAGTCTATGTTTAAGGTATGTGTGTTACGATCATCTTAACCCTACAACTGTCGTAAAGTCTATGTTAAGGTATGTGTTTTACGATCATCATAACCCAAAGACTGTCGTAAGTCTATGTTAAGGTATATGTGTTACGATCATCTTAACCCAAAGACTGTCGTAAAGTCTATGTTAAGGTATGTGTGTTACGATCATCTTAAGCCCTACAACTGTCGTAAGTCTATGTTGAAGGCATGGGAGTTAATATCGCCTTAACCCTACGACTGTCGTAAGTCTATGTTAAGGTATGTGTGTTACGATCACCTTAAGGGTGAGATCACGTTGTGCAGCGGCACCTTATAGCGTTGCTGTGCTCAGACTTTGACCTTGACACAGTAGTTCGGTACGTGGCCTGTAACTGGCCTATGTCATGTCTGTTTCAACTGGCAACTCGAATCTGATGGTGTGTGGAGACACATGTGCCCCCCCCGGAATGGTATACCTGTCATTAGACTGTAAGTGCTTGCCGTATAACGATTCTAGGGTTTAGCAGCACCATGCCTCTCTTCCCTGGCTTTCACCAAGGAGGTAAACATCCAGCAGATTTAATCGCCAGCACACAAAGTTAGCCATCTAATCCGGGCTCAGCCGGCTTCCCTTACCTTAGCTTGTGCTGGCGCTTAGGTGCCTGATTCTGAGTATTGAGTTCGAATCCCGGATGGGACTCAACCCAACAAAGTACTAGAATCTGTTCTTTACTGAGTTTCCATTATTAATATACCTGCCATTCCATGGTCACCTCCTTTCCTCACTATATACCTATATGTGTTCCAGGCCACTCCTCTCTTGTGTCTGTGTGTGTCCTTCCTGTCTGTTCTGTGTGTCCTTCCTGTGTCCTTCCTGTGTGTGTGTCTGTTCTGTGTCTGTGTCTCCTTCCTGTCCTGTGTGTGTGTGTGTGTCCTTCCTGTGTGTCCTTCCTGTGTGTGTGTGTCATTCTGTGTGTGTGTGTCTGTGTGTGTGTGTGTGTGTGTCTGTGTGTCCTCCATTCCTGTGTGTGTGTGTGTCTGTGTGTGTGTGTGTGTCCTTCCTGTGTGTGTCCTTCCTTGTCTGTGTGTGTGTGTCTGTGTCTTCTGTGTGTCCTTCCTGTGTGTGTCCTTCCTCCTGTGTCCTTCCTTCTGTGTTCCTGTGTGTGTGTGTCCTTCCTTCCTGTGTGTGTGTTCCTGTGTGTGTCCTTCTGTGTGTGTCCTGTGTCCTTCCTGTGTGTGTGTGTCTGTGTCCTTCCTGTGTGTGTCCTTGTGTGTGTGTCCTGTGTGTGTGTCTGTGTGTGTCCTTGTGTGCCTCCTTCCTGTCCTTCCTCCTTGTGTGTGTGTCCTTCCTGTGTGTTGTGTGTCCTTCCTGTGTGTCCTTCCTGTCTCCTTCCTGTGTGTCCTTCCTGTGTGTGTGTGTGTCCCTGTGTGTGTGTCCTGTGTGTCCTGTCCTTCCTGTGTGTCCATGTCCTCCTGTGTGTGTGTCCTTGTGTCCTGTGTGTGTGTCCTTTGTGTGTGTCCTTCCTCCTGTGTCTTCCTTGTGTGTCCATGTGTGTGTGTGTGTCCTTCCTGTGTGTGTCCTTCCTGTGTCCTGTCCTTCCTGTGTCCTTCCTGTGTGTGTCCTTCCTGTGTCCTGTGTCCTGTGTGTCCTCCATTCCCCTGTGTGTCCTTGTGTCCATTCCTCCTTCCACCCTATCCCTTCCTGTCTATTTCCTTCTCATTCCATTATCCTTCCATCTCCTCCTCTTATGTCCACTCCTTTCCTTCTGTCTCTTCCATTCCACTATTTTGTATGTCCATTTCCACCTTCTTCATATTTTCCTTCCTTCTCCTTTCCCTCTATTCATCTGTGTCCTCCTATGTGTCCATCATTCCTTGTCAACCTATTGTGTCCTTCACTCCTGTTCTTTCTTCCATCTGTTTCCTTCATTATCCTTCTGTATTTTCTATGTCCTTCCTATTTCCATGTATATCCACTCCTCTTCATTCTTTGTCCTCTTTATCCATTCCATTTCTTTCTATTTTCACATGTTGTCTTCCTTCTCTCTTCTTGTGTTCTACCTCCTTTACTTGTTCTTTCTGTGTTTGTGCTATATCTATCTTATTTCGTATATTCCTATGTTCTCCGTTCATCTGTCCATTTCTATCCTTCTGTGTGTCCTTCCTTCCACTGTCACATGTTTGTGTATGTCCTTTTCCATGTATGTCCTTCATGGTGTCTTTTGTGTGCTCCTGTGTTCCTATTTATTATATGTCCTTTTATGTCCTTCCTGTGTGTGTCTATTTGTGTCTATTTTGTATCGTGTCTGTGTGTGTGTCTTTGTGTGTGTGTCCTTCCTATTTTGTGTCCTTCCACTATGTGTGTGTGTGTGTATATGGCTCCTTATTCCTGTGTGTGTGTCCTTGGCCATGTCCATTCCTGTGTGTTGTCTTCCTTGGGTCCTGTCTGTGTGTCTGTGTGTGTCTGTTGTCTTTCTGTCCTTGTGTGTCGTGTGGTCTCCTTGTTGCTGTTCCGTCATGTGTCATGTCTGTGTCCATGTGTTCCTTGTGTGGTCCTTCCTTGTGTGTGTGTGTGTGTGTGTCCTTCTGTGTGTCTGTGTGTGTCTTCCATGTGTGTGTGTCCATGTGTGTCCTTCCTTGTCATTCCATTTGGTCATCTTGATCATGTCAATTGTCTCATGTTTGTGTCCTTCCTGATTCGTGTGTCCTTCATGCATGTCTATCCTTCCCTCCTCAGTCACATGTGTCCTTCATCTGATTATATCCTTCCTGGGATTATTATATCCACCTGTTGTATGTCCATTTCACCTGGTGTGTTAGATTAGTATGTCCATTCTGTTTATGTCCATGCCTCTGTTAGGTGTGTGATTCTTCACCTGTTACATGTGTCGATTCACCTGTTGTGTGTGTATTCTTCACCTGTTTGTGTGTATTCTTCACCTGTTGTGTGTATGTTCTTCACTGTTGTGTGTATCCTTCACCTGTTACGTGTGTATCCTTCACCTGTTGCGTGTGTGTTCTTCACCTGTTGATTGATGTTCTTCATGTTGGTGTGTCATTCACCTGTTAGGTGTGTGTCCTTCACCTGTTGCAGTCATTGCCTGTTAGGTGTATGTCAGCCACCTGTGCGATGTGTATCAGCCTGTTGTTTGTATGTCCTTCACCTGTTGGTGTGTGTCAATACCTGTTGGGATTGTCACCCTGTTGTGTGTGTGTCCTTCACCTGATTGTGTGTGCGTCCAATTCATGTTGTGTGTATGTTCTTCATGGGTTGGATGGGACTGGACTCAGTTCTGCAGTGATCGTTTCAAATCAGTTATTCTCCCCCAATAGATTGTTTCTATGTTTCCTCAGCCTCAAACAGATTGCTCACGTGATCCCTCTTCCCATTTCCTCCCATGTCCATGGTTTGGAATCCCAAGGATCTTCAGTACTTTATATGGGTTGCCATTGTGTCAGAAGCGATCCTAGACCTCCTTTCTTCATATATAAGGTGATCGTAAGTCCACTTCAAGACAACCTTAAGTACAATGTTCAAAAAAGGGTGGGTTGGGTTAAACTTAATAAAGGTTGCTTCGTGAAGAGAACCCCTAGACATAAAGGTGGTCAGTAACATACATACCATAACATGGACTTAGGGGATTCAGGCATGGCTAAGATTGGTCGTAACATGAAACCATAACATAGACTTAGGGTTGGCATGGCGCTAAGGTGGTCGTAACGCCCATGGCATAACCCAGACTGGCGGCTGGCATAGCCCTAAGATTGGGGTGTGTATGCCGGCATGGACTTAGGGCTGGCATGGCGCTAAGGGTGGTCGTAACGCCCATACCATAGCATGGACTTAAGGACTGGCCTTGGCTACGCTAAAGATTGGTCGTAACGCCATACCATAACATGGACTTAGGGGGCTGGCATGGCGCTGGGTGGTCGGTAACGCCATACCATAACATGGACTTAGGGCTGGCATGGCGCTAAGATTGTTGATCATGTATACCATGGCATGGACTTGGGACTGGCATGGCGCTAAGGTGATCAACATATACCATAACATAGACTTAGGGCTGTAGCATGGCGCTAAGGTGATCAGCATAATACCATAACATGGACTTGGGGCTGGCATAAGCGCTGGGGTATGCTTTGGCAAAACGCCACCTGTTGGATAACCTTCGTTGTCCGGTGCCTTCGGATGTATGTCATACCACAGAGGTTGGGGATTGCCACCAACGTCGTCATCAGGCCAAAGATCGAAGCGAACGTGTACACACCTCGGCAGTGATGCCGTGGTACAGACCCTGAAGCAAATATATTCGAGAGAACACGCAAGGTCTAGAAAATGTGGCAAGTCTAGATTTCCCACAGCTGACAATGAAAGAGAGTCCCTGGGCTCGCGCATTTACAATTTTATTTTAAAGGCTTGTATTTTCTGTAAGAAATATATGCATTTCAGGACTAGCTGTTGGTCTGCTCCAGCAACAAACACTCACTGTGCTTGAACCAGTGTCTTCACCATGCCACTTCAGCCCCATTCTCTTCCCACAGGGTTACTCCTGTCTATCTTTCGTGAGATGTGACCAGTAATGAGACAACTCCCGTGCCTAAAGGTTCCAACGATTCATTACACGTCGCGGTGATATTGTTGACGGAAATTAGCAGGGACCACTCAGTTTGGTTGAAAATTACGTTCTTCCGTCACTAATGCACATAGAACTGTCAATAATATTAGCAGGAACTACATTTATCCCGATACACAGGATACGAACGTGGTGGATTGTGACGGGCCATCCAAGATAGTTCAGACGTACTTTTCCGTTAGCCAGAGCGATGTTTTGTAGAAGATGACTGAACATTTGACACTTTTTGATAAACAGGGGCGATTCACAACTCATTTGTAGTCGGATTAAAATTAACTAATTAGAAAGCCTCAGAACCTGAGAATATCTAGACTTGTTTCATTTTAGAGCTTTAGCATTGCAGACAGGCCTTTAGGGGATTATGGAGAACAATCTGCAGTTGAGGGTGAGAGAGACAGACTAACATGGCAAGACTGAGGGCTAGGGGATGGAGAATAATGCGGTTCCAGGGGCTGAGACAGACTAACATGGCAGACAGGGCTAGGGATGTTGGGAGAATAATGCAGTTCAGGGAGTGAGAGACAGACTAACATAGCAGACAGGGCTAGGGATGGAGAATAATGCAGTTCAGGAGTGAGAGACAGACTAACATGGCGAAGACAGGGGCTAGGGATGGAGAATAATGCAGTTGAGGGGAGAGACAGACTAACATGGCAGACAGGGCTAGGGGATGGAGAATAATGCGGTTGAGGTGTGAGACAGACTAACATTGCAGACAGGGCTAGGGATGGAGAATAGTAATGCAGTTTCAGGAGGCAGAGACAGACTCACATGGCAGACAGGGCTAGGGGATGGAGAATAATAAATGCAGTTTAGGGAGTGAGACAGACTAACATTGCAGAACAGGGCTAGGGATGAAAGAATAAATGCAGTTGAGGTAGTGGGGTGGAGCTGGCATTGCAGACCTGGGGCTAGAAGGATGGGAAAGACAATGCTGGTTCAGGGAGTGAGAGACACAGACTAACATTGCAACGAACAGTGCTAGGGGATGGAGAATAAATGCAGTTCAGGAGTGAGAGACAGACTAACATGGCAGACAGAGCTAGGGGATGGAGAATAATGCAGTTCAAGGAGTGAGAGAGACAGACTAACAGCTGTGCAGACAGGGGCTAGGGATGGGAGAATAATGCAGTTCAAGGAGTGAGAGACAGACTAACATGTGCAGACAGGGCTAGGGATGAGAGAATAATGCAGTTCAGGAGTGAGAGACAGACTAACATGGCAGACAGGGCTAGGGGATGGAAATAATGCAGTTCAAGGAGTGAGGCCAGACTAACATAACCCATGCTTGAACTTGGGGCTAGGGGATGAGAGAATAATGCAGTTCAAGGGAGTGAGAGACAGACTAACATTACAGACAGGGCTAGAGGGATGGAGAATAATGCAGTTCAGGGAGTGAGAGACAGACTAACATAGCAGACAGGGCTAGGGATGGAGAGAATAATGCAGTTGAGAAGTGAGAGACAGACTAACATAGCAGACACAGGGCTAGAGGGTTGGAGAATAATGCTAAGTTGAGGAGTGAGAGAGACAGACTAACATGGCAGACAGGGCTAGGGGATGGAGAATAATGCAGTTCAGAGGGAGTGAGAGACAGACTAACACTTGCTTGAAGACAGGGCTAGAGGATGGAGAATAATGCAGTTGAGAAGTGAGAGACAGACTCCACATGTCTGCAGTGCTCTCGTATGCAAATGCCACTGCACCACCCTGACGAATAATGAATGTGATTCGATGTAGTTCCACTTGTGCAGTCTTGAATTGAGTTTTTACTTTCTGCAATCAATTACCTACGTGTTGAAGTGGCAACGTGTTACTCTACAACACTGAGGAAACTGTGGCAACAGTCAGTGTGTGTCAGCGTCACCACGTGTTGTCTGACATACACAGATCCTGAACCAGGAAATACATCCCCAGAAACACAATACTATATCTATAACAGTGGGTAAGAGTCCCTGTGGCTGTACGGTTAAAGAATGAAGAGGCCTCTATCTCTTTTTTTATTATTATATTGTCTTCAGTTGATTTAATAACTGGTGTTTTTTCTGTAAAAAATTCATTTCAGGAACAGGGGATTTTTGTATTACAAAGTGCGTTGAGGGAAGGAAAGGATATTCATAGAGCTATGTTTTTGGTATGTGTGAGCCTGTCAACCTGGCCTACTACAGTTGTTCAAAGTGACAAACGTAGATCACTGCAGTCAGTTGTAAACAAGGATCCATATAGGAGATCGTGTCATCTGTGTAAAAGACTGTCTCAATAACCTTGACAATCCAGCCCCGGGGAGACTAGAGTCAAGAAGGTGTGATGCAATTAAAGGTGTCTGTACCAACAGGAACGTGTCCATCTGTTTATAGCTATACTTTGAATGCTTAATTTGACAGGAAATTGACAGCTGGGTAAGGAATGCAGTAATTAGTGTAATTAATTCGATTGTTTTCATTAATTTTTCAGGAAACAGGTATAGGTAATGAGGAGGCCAATGTGTGTGATTCTTAAAGGGTGTGTGGTGGGTTAGAGTGGGGAGGTAGAGAAGCGGGGGTGGGGGGTGGCGTGTCCACCCTTAGCAAATGGGGGGAGGAATTAGAAAGCGGGGGGTGGGGTGACGTGTCTACCTTAGCAAATCAAACTTGCACGTTTGAGAAGGTTAACAGGTTAACGTAGAAATTACCCTCCCACATTCACTTTATATACATATTATTGACCACTATGAATGCACTCACAAGAAAACCTATACTGGCTATGTTGTAATGGGACTACAAATTAGGTAATACATTTCAATACTGGACAACATAAAACCAAATTTCATAATGTGGTCTTAACGTGGGAAACAGTATTTGTAACCACAGTATAGTCTACTCCAAAACTGTATGTTTAATCCACCCAGTAGTGCATATATTTACGATATTGATATAATTTATATCATGTATATCAATCATATTTGTACAAGAATGTGTTGTAGTGTTTGTACTCTGTCCCAGAGGAAGACGAAGTTTTGTCTCCTTCATCTTCTTCCCCTCCTCCTTCTTCTTCGCTGTCGTCTGCTTCTTCTATCAATTCGTAAGTGAAGGGAACATATATTTTAAATCCACTAAGAATTTCCATGATTCAGGATTTTATTATATGCTAATTTCTGATCACATCATTTATTGCAGAGGTCCTGCTAAGGCAGGTTGATAGGCACATGTTACATCCCCCCTGCATCTCCCCCCCTCCATCTTGTAGTGTCAGTGGTGGGAGATACCTCCCCTCCTCCTCACCCCCGCGTCACCGTCAGGGGAGCTTCCCATGGGGCAGCGTAGCCCGACCCATCTGCACCATCGCAGCGTGTCCTTCAGCAGCGATATGGGAGGGAGGATTGAGTCGGCGTTAGTCACGGCGCTCAGCGGCACACGAGGAGACCCGCCCGTGATGTGACCACGCTGACCACATCATCGTCAACAGCAGCACGCAGCACAGAACACCCCAGTCAGTATCGGACCAAAGGGCACAGTGGAAGGTGCAGGTGTTTTTTCTGATCGGAATGCGAGTGTATGTACAACTTGTAAGCAGTAGTAGTAAGGGCGGGCAGACTTGACACTATTCACTGAGTACAGCATGTCTACCTCGGAACCATATGCACTGTGGGGCAGTGTCGTCGAAGCAAGAAGCTCGGAGTGTATGCAGGAACTGCGTGGGTTATATTTGAGCAAACGTAAGTTATTATAAAGCAGATGAGTGTGGCAGACGACATGACAGCTTCACTTGGGTATACAGATACAGCGGACCGATGATAACAGCTGTCGTCTGCTTACCGTCCAATGCCAAACTTTACTATGCTTTAGCACAACTTTCATCAGAGTAGAGATGATCGTCATCTAACATCTTTCATTTCAGGGCTTCTCTTGATATTAACATTAGAATCGAAGGTTATAAGTCCACTACGGATATTTGTACATGATCTAAAATCATCTTGTGCATACTGCTATATATAGTTGAACATGTTTTATTTTTCAGCAACAAAGTATATTTTTGGAGCTTAAACATGTTTTTGATTTTTCAACACTAAGGTATCTTTGAAGCTTAAAATGGTTGATGTACAACACGTACCTTATGACATTTGCATGAGTGGATTTGATAGTAAATGTTTACAGGCAATTGTTACTGAGTATAGCGACTTATATACCATGCACAGTGTACGTGTTAAACATGGTTCGGCTTTGAAGTTCCCACATGTTGGGACGGTGTGCGGGCTGCAGACGGTGTGGTGTGTTAAACCCGCTCTATCGACTGAACAAACGTACGGTATCTCCGTGTCTGGGTCCACAGTTGATGTACAGGGGAAGATCCACGAGGCTTTCATCAGCCTGATAGCACGTGATTAACACAGGGGTGTAGACAATGCTTGATATCTACAGGATTAGTTCAATTAGCTTCTACCAATGTCTCTTTACGTGGGACCTATAGCGAATAGTGGTATCGCTGTTAGGTGGGTGAGGGGGCGAGAGAATAGGGTGATGGAGAGAGAAGAGGTGAGAGAGAGAGAGAGAGAGAGAGAATAGGAGGGTGATGGAGAGTATATGGTGACGGAGAGAAGAAATTGAGAGAGGAGAGAGAGAGAGAGAGAATAGGGTGATGGAGAGAGAGAGAGTATGGTGTTGGAGAATTTAGGAGAGAGAGAGATTTGAGAGAGAGAAATTTGAGGAGAGAGAGGTGGGGAAGGGAATAGGGTGATGGAGAGAGGAATAGAGATGGGGAGGGAGGAAGTGTATAGTGTTGGAGAGAGAAATTTGAGAGAGAGAGAGAGGCATGTTATTTGAGAGAGAGAGAGAGAGAGAGAGGAGAGAGAGAGAGAGAGAGAGGAGGCGTGATTAGGAGAGAGAGAGGAGGCATGTCATTTGGAGTTAGAGAGAGAGAGGCAGCCGTTATTTGAGAGAGAGAGGAGCAAGTGGCCATTTGAGAGAGAGAGAGAGGGCATGAGAGAGGAGGAGAGGGAGATGTTATTCTTTTGAGGAGAGAGAGAGGAGAGAGAGGAGGATAATGTTATGAGAGGAGAGAGGAGGCATGTCATTTGAGAGAGAGAGAGCATGAGAGAGAGAGAGAGGCATGGTATCTTGAGAGAGAGAGAGAGAGAGAGAGAGAGAGAGAGGCATGTTATTTGAGAGAGAGAGAGAGGCATGTCATTTGGAGAGAGAGAGAGAGGCATGTTAGAATTTGGAGAGAGAGAGAGGAGAGAAGAGAGAGAGAGAGAGAGAGAGAGTATTATGTTGGAGAGAGAGAGATAGAGGAGAGGCATGTCATTTGGAGAGAGAGAGAAATTTGAGAGAGAGAGAGTGGGAGAGAATAGAGATTGATGGAGAGAGAGGAATAGGAATTGATGGAGGAGGTATGGTGTTGGAGGAAATTTGAAAGGAGAGAGAGAATAGGGTGATGGAGAGAGAGTATGGTGTTGGAGAGAGAAATTTGAGGAGAGAGAGAGAGAGAGAGGAATAGGGTGATGGAAGAGAATAGAATTTGACAGAGAGAGGGTGAGAGAGTGAGGGAGAGAGATTTGAGGAGAGAGAGGTGAGAGAGAGAGAGAATTTGAGAGAGTGAGAGAATAGGGTGATGGAGAGAGAGTATGGTGACGGAGAGAGAAATTTGAGAGAGAGAGAATAGGAGGGTGATGGAGAGAGACAGCAGGGCTAGGGCGTGTTTGGGGGAGATACTCTCATTAATCCTAATCGTGTTGTTTCTCAAGCTATGGCCTGAGTAATAAAGTGTTTGTGTTGGTGGACCGACATTTTACTAATATTTCCTTGGAGCTTGTGCTTTGGCTTACACCTAGAACTATTTGCGGGGCTATACTGCAATCCATCAGACCAAGTTCCTGAAATTCTTTCACTTGTCCAAATATTTACTTGTCTTGCCCACAGTGATATGCCAGTAGAATCAAGGGATAGTGTTCTTTGAGGCCCACTTAGGGTGAGGAACTATATATTTTTTGCTTAACGTAGTCGTCATGTGTTTTATGGTCTCTTTCATTCAAGGTATTGTCTCCCATAGCTAAAGGCTCAAACCTAGAGTGACATTAAACAGGCCCTGACATGATAGTGCACATATGTGTAATAACGAGATGATTGAGATGTACAAATGCAGCTGGTGTGTATGTGGCCAGTGAAGGTAAATGGCTCATGAACAAAAGTAACTTGGATCACGGGCGATGTGGCTCATTCAATCTGCATAATATTTATAAGTAAAATTGAATTTCCGGAGATTTGTTAAGCGTGTAATTGGGTTTACAATCAGGCACCATAAGACACATCTTTAAACCAACTGAGATTACCAATCTTCATAAAAATAGTGGCACTTCCTGTTAGTAGTTTCCTTGGTGTCTACAAGAATGATCTGTATACCTATGTTTTTAATACTTTTTTTTAAAAATGTTAACTGTAAAGACAAAATAAAAGGTCATGTTAAAAACAAGTTTTCACACGTCAACTGTACTGGGAAGAGGCCACACAATCTTGTCCAGCCTAACAGGGCACGAGTTCAAGATCTAAGGAGAGATAATGCAGCATGGTTTGAGATACAGCATCTGGGCAGTTATTAAAATGTCAGCTATCTCCCTCATCCAACCTCACCACCCCACCCCAATGCCGGCCCCATCCTGCCACAGACACCCCACATCTCCCTCAGGCTGACATTTGGCGGGCTCCTCTACAGTGATTAGGAACATCACTGAAGCCAGCAGGCCCCTGTGTAGAGTTTTTTTTGTCCTAGAGACAGAGAGGTATTTACTAGATTATATATCTTGTTATGTACTTAATAGAATATTGTCACTGTTTCTGTATGGAACGTTTGCACAATAAATATTTTATCTCTCTTATCTCTTTATATCTTTGCAGTCAACCATGGAAAGAAACTGTACTGTTACAGATGAAAATATAGTTCCTAAGAAATGGATTTATTATAATGTGTTTGTTACGTTTCCCTTTGATAGAAAATGAGAAAGAATTAGAATGAAATCTATGGCCTGAACTCCCAGAAATCTAGACTTGTGATTATGCATACTTGCAGCAGGTTTTATGATATATTTAGGGGTGGGATGGAGTGTCTGCCTGAGGAGGCTAGGTATTGTTGTATAGACAATGCTGTATGAGCTGAAATATTGTTTATATATATAAATATTGAAATATACTGAAAAAACAATTTCTCCTAAGATGTTTCATTCATTTCTTCAGGGAATTGCATAACAGCTTCTACTACTGAAGAGTTAATGAAACATGTAGGACTGAAAATGAAACACAGTGTTTTTTTTTGATCTATACTACCCATCAAAAGTTTAGACTCACTTAAAAGCACTCACTATATGTTATATATATATATGTATGGTTGCATCGAAATGAATTTCTCCTAGCAGAGCTGGCCTTTGGATGGATTGCGGGAGGAGGGATCATGCATCAAATTGCTGTACAGCATGTGCAAATATCATGCATGTGAACAGCTGCACGTTTTTATTAGCAGGGTGTCACGAATTAAATCCATTTCACTGAGTTTCATCATTTATTGAACTCATGACAATGAAATCTTTCAACGTTACAAATGTGTTTTACAATACATCCAGTCCATGTAAACAGTACCTTAAAACAGTATGGAAAGTTTTGCAAAATTTATTTGTCATCTGGTACAACACCTTGTGGCCTTCTATTATCAAACATATTTTATACGAGGAGTTGTGAATGGTCCATTTGTCTTGTAGACAACTATTCTTTGGATATGGACTGACTGAAGCTGAGTTTAGTTTACGCCACTTTTGCTTAATATTCAGCAATATATCACGGCAGGACACAGAAATGGGAGCTTCACACATTGTGCCCATGTGGGGAATCGAACCCAGGTCTTCAGCGTGAGCCAGCACTTTAACCACTAGAGCTACCCACCGCCCTTGGGTATGGAAAAGTTGTAAGCACAGTGTAATGTCTGTATGAAACGTATGGGCATCGAGGCCACTCCAGCCTCAATCTCTCTGACACAGACACTCTATCCCTGAACCAGACCTCCGCTTTCCAGTAAAAACAACATGGCTTGTCAAAGCTTCCTAACATTACAATACGCTGAGCCTCAACTGCCAATAGAATTGCATTTATTTTGCAAGGCTCCAGCAATAGACTAAAAGCTGTATTGCTAAAACAAGGAGACTGTTTAAAATGATGTGCTATGGATATCTACATTCATTCAAGCACAATCATATTTTCATTCCACACCTGCATTCACTTGAATCTCACAGAACAAGTGTATTTATGGAAACTTATGTATCTTCAGGTAGTTCCCATCCAGCACGATGGCAGATCCAGCGGAGTACTGCAGCTGCCCACCACAAGAAGCAGACAGACTCTACAAAGAGAACAAGCTTGACGGTGCACTCGAGAAATACTCCAAACTCCTTGAACAGAACCAGGACAACATTGAGCTGCTGCTGAGGCGATCCAGATGCTGCCTGATCTCAATGAATACAACCAGCTTCAATGACATAAGGCTGCTCACAGCGTGGACTCCACCCATGTGGCCTGCATTTGTTGTGGAAGGGCTGCAACGAGGGACAGGGGAGATCTTGCCTGGTTACACAAGGTGCACTGAGAGTTGATCCTAAACATCAGTATTAAGACTCAGAAACTACAAGCAGCCATTATGGCGGAGACATGAGAAAGAGTCTGTTGATGGGCCGACATTTTTGGTGGTGAAGTTCTGTACGGGATCCCTACCCCGGTAAGGGCTCTATCGGATGGAACGGAGATCCTCAACAAAGAGCACAAGATCTGCAATAACCAGGAGATCGCGGGCCGATACCCAACACCAAGCCGGAGGATGCCATAGGCAATGCTGCCATGGCGATGCAGTGCACCGGTGCGGGAGGCAACACTGGAGGTCACTCCGAGAGTCTTGTGACAGATCTGTGGCCAGGCCCGAGCCCCTGTGTTCTGTATCGGCGGCTGAGGGCAGGGTCCTTCTGGACAGGTCACAGCAGGAGGAACTCCCTCGTGATCTCTACGCCATCCCACCACAAAGTCGGTCAGTTGAGGTCTAGAGCAGGGAGGTAGGCCGTTTTGTGTATACAGGGGATTTCTGTGGAAACAGATTCAGATTAACCTAATGGTTACGGCATGGCAGGACTAATGACACAGCTTCTACCTGTTGATCAGAAGTATAAATGGGTATGACGTGTAGGTTTTGTTAGGAGTGGTGAGTGAGTATAGTTTTACGCCGATTTTAGCAATATTCCAACAATACCGGCGGGGGCACCACAAATGGGCTTCACACATTGTACCAATGAGGGGGAATCGAACCAGGGTCTTTGGCGTGACGAATAGCGCTTTCACCACTAAGGCTACTACCGCCCCTAGGTTTGTTGAGAGTTTAGATGGTTGATATAGCATATATATGGGTTTGTTTGGTTAGTTGTATGTACAGCAGTCAATAATATTCCAGCTCTATGACGGTCTGCTTAAAATATTCGAGTCTGAACCAGAAAATCCAGTGATTAACAGCATGAGAATCGATCTACGCAAATGGGATACCATGAACCAAACCAGTGAGCCCAACTAGCCGATCCCGTTTAGTTAAGCACTCTTGCGACAAGCGTGGGTTTCCTGAAGACAATTCTAATCGGATCTTCACAAGGTTCTATATCTGTGGGTGTATTGCCACCACAGAGGTCAGATGACCTTCGTATTCCGGGGGATAAGCTTACAGCAGAGTCACCTCAAATGATCCTTTATCACAGGATTTGGCAGCCATGTGATGGTCCCACATACAATGAAGTCAGTGTTAATGCCACATCGGGATGCCACTTCATAGTATAGATTACCAGTTGCAGAGGATTACAGATATATCGGCAAAATGTTTGCCATAACGGCGGGGTATGGATTTGTAATTAATTCTTCATCCACACGAGTACAAGCTTTCCATTTTGCATGTGAACACTACCTATGGTTTGCTGCAGAAACATCGGATGGAAAAGTTATTTCCGTTTAATGTCTTTATAAATATCAACAAGCACCACAGGTAATACCAAACATTTGATAAAGTAATCAGATGCACTCTAGGGGCATGCATTGTAACGCTATGGTACCCTGTCTGATCAGCTATTATGGTAAAGCACATTGAACGTTTTTAACGTAGCTGACTTGTTCAGGCAAATTCAATTGAAAATGGGGCTGCCAGTGTCTTCGAGTTCTGGTTCCAGGCCACCAAGATTAGTGACAACAAGGATGAGGAGTCAGCCATCTTATTCCAGAAAGTTCGCACCGAGAGACTCTACGGGCCTCTCACGAAGAAAGGTTCAGTGAAGAGAGTGGACTTTGGTCAGTTTGGCCGATCTATATTTACCACAGAGGGACATCGAGGAGGCAGATTCTTGACAGACAAAGCCAGTGTTACAATAAGAAAGTCATAAACTAACTACTTTGTACCTAGGTGTCATCATTGTGCCATGTCGCTGCTGTCCCAGAGGGACTATTTTAAGGGGAAACTCTGGACTTGTTTGATGACTCAATGAAAGATCTGGTGAAGGGCTGGCCGGATACCACACCTGTGTTGTGTGACGTGTGTAAGAGGGTGAAGTACTGCAGTGTCAAGTGCCAGAAGGGAATTATGGGCCAAATTACCACGGGTGATATGTCCTGGAAGGAACCCCGCTGCCAAGCTGGCTATACACGACCTGGTAGCCAATAAAGGTGTTGAGGTCCAAACAGACCGGAAGGAAGGAGGATGTTTGGCTGGCGTCATACAGTCCACTGGTCCTTGCCAGGATCTGGGGACCATTGTACAGGATGCCAAGACCATGATGAGGATCGGAAGGTCTAACACAACCATCAGCAGAACATTGGAGCGAGGGCAAAAGCCCCATTCAGAAGGAGGTACAAAGGTTTTGATGAACAGTAAATGGAGTGCATGTTGTTTTATGCCCTTATCGGCAATATTCCAGCAAGGTGGCCCAAAGTAATCAGATCTGGGTCGATCCACAAAGCGTTAAGTGACGTTACGACATATAAAGTAACTTTGTACTACTATAAAACTACGAATGACATAGTGCTGCGAACGTTTTGTGGATGGGGTCCCTGGATATACATACCAATGGTTACACCATTACACACATAACCAAATCCCGTGCCAGAGGGAAATGACTCTAGGGAGGGTAATATATGAGAATAAACATGTGTGTGTGCGTCTGCGTGTGTGTGTGTGTGTGTGTGTGTGTTTCCATTAAATTGATAAATGCGAACATTATTTTTGGGAACACAACAGACAAAAATGGACACGGACATGGCGAAAGTAAAGGAAACTGAAAAGCAACAGGGGAGGGTTTGTCTTCAGTAAATTGTGCGTCACAAAACTGTGACCCACCCAGTACTGAATGACGGTCCTTTAGATCAAGCCCTTGATTATGTTTCTTGGTTTGAAGGTGTCATTAAACCCAATCGTTCCCTCACTCCTCGCACCCTTACATCATCAGGCCATGGTTCAAGGGATTGACACTGTCCTGGGAACCTATCAATGGGTTTGAGTCCCAAAATGGTTTCATTGAAGGGCAACACTTGTTTTCACATCATTTGCAGCCCACGGTAAGTTAGGAGTTGGGTTGTCGCTTTAAGCAATATTCCTGCATTTATTGACATAGTCTTCACATACTGCTCCAACATGGATAATCAGTTGTAAGTAGTGACAAAAGGCAGGTATGCCTTAAAGCCTTGGCCGCCCGGCCTCAGCGTACAGTGAATCCGTGTATCATGTCTGGTGGTAGCTGAACCAAGTGTCATGTCTACTTACCGTTAACAATTAGTGATGTCTCCTTTGCGATTGATGCATTGAGTTTAGTTTTGCTGCACTCCAGCAATATTCAACTATATAAGCGTCGGTCTGTAAATAATCGAGTCTGGACCAGACAATCCCTAGTGAGCAACAGCATGAGCATCGATTTTTGCAGAAGGTACCGATATTTTCCATTTATTTTGCATTAATTTTTGTGTCGAAATTTGTAATAGATCCACACTAACAATTTCTTTGAATATTTGTGACCAAGAAATTCCATAAAACAAGAACACAAATGGTCTGGGAAAGTTCACTTTGAAACACCCAAGTTCATGTTTTAGTAGATGTCTGTTCATTTTGTTTCCATCTTGTTCTGTGACAGGTTCACTTAGCATTCAGATTGTACAGAAGGCAACCAGGCAGGATGCTGATATGATCAAAGGTATTTTTAGAATCTTCCAGAACAACAGCGTGGTATCAGCTACAGGAAATAGCAGGCAGAATTCAACGGCCGCTACTACCAGAGCAGTGTAACCTTCAGATGTTCACCTCCACCATACACCGTACCAGCACTTCTCTGTGTCCTTAAGCGGGCCCGTGAATCTGAAGATGCTCAAGTATTTGCAGAAGAATCCTAAACAGTCAGCCTTCACGGGAATGTTTTCCATGCTTGTCTGAACCATTCCTGCTACAACAGCATTGGAGGTCCGCGATGGCCGTTGTGGCGATACTTACGCCTGGGTGTTGCTGTAATCGCCAAACGGAACGTGAAGAGGTGAGGAGGTTCTCACCGATACATCGACACCTCCATGCCGCGGAAACTACGGCGCGCATGGCTGTACAGATCTTTCCAGCTTCTGGTGTCACTGTCTACGATGTCAGTATAGAGGTGACGACGCAACATCGTGCTACATGTCAGGTGGCCCGAAGAGAGGGCAAGAAGTTCCCCATCATGTGGAAAATGTCACTTTGAGCCTGGTGGCCTGTCAGAGAAGGCCGTGGAAGCAAAGGCCATAAGATCGTC